CCTCCTCTCGTGCCCAGCAATCCTTCCCCAGCCCAGTCCCGGTGGCAGCTAGAGAGCCGAGGGGAGGAAGCTGCGTCTGAGGGCAGTTTATCTGCTCTCTGATCCAGAAAGACCTGCTGCCGCACGGTGGTTTCTCTCAGCAAGAGCCGGCAGGACTCCCGGCTCAGTTTTGCAGTCGGAAGCTGTTCTTTCTTGCTTGACTAAATGATGTCAGCATAAAACACAGGCCAGCGTGGTTTCGTGCTCCACAGTGGGCCGCCGTCGTCACTGGGGTTGCTTTTAAGGGGGTTTTTAATTGCTGCTTCGCCTGTAAATCTGGGGCCAGCCGTGAGCGTTGGGGAGATGCCACAGGCAGATGTTGCCGCCGCCCCCGCTTGGGGGGGGGGGACCGGGAGGCCCTGCTGGCTTCTGCCCATGAATGAAACGAAATGGGTCGGGTCTCAGCCCGGGTTCAGCTGGGACGTGCACGTCTCCCGAGCGGCCACGTGTCCCGTGGTGCTGCCAAGGGGCTGCCTTGACCCTCGGCTTCGCGCTTTCCCTCCCTGCGGATGTGGTGGCACCTTTGCTCTGCCTGCGCCCCCGATCCCATTCTCCCTCTCTGTAGTCCCCTCTTCTTCGCTCCGCCGTCAGATCCCACTCCTCCTCCTCTTCCTCCTCCTTCTCCTTCTCCTTCCCTGCTGCCCTGAGAGCAGCGATCCCGCTTGCTGACGCTGACCCCATCTTCTTCTTTCCAGCCCCCATCACGGCTGCCGGGTGCTGTGCAAGGCCCAGGCTGCCAGGCTGCCGCCTTCGTGAGCGCCCGAGCATGGAGCGGCCCTTAGGGTGCGGGGTAAGTCCCGTTTTTTTGGTCAATATATTGCACGTTTTTTCAAAGTTTCTTTTTTTGTTTCCTCTTTGGTCATTTCCCCACCCCGAAGGGTCAAACCAAAAACTTTGAAAAACCGCACAGTATATTCAGAAAAAAGGGACTTACCGGCCCTGCTTGGGGACCAGCACGTGGCGGGGCGGGG